GGAGCCCAGCCATAGGTATGGGCAGAAGCTGGGCTTGTTCCCCCTTCCCTCCTGCACCAGCCCCCCAGGAAGGACCATGGGACGCCCCAGAGTGGCCCTATGCCTCTGGGTTGCATCCCTGGGGACCAAGGTGCCACGCATCTGCCACGTTGCTTCCCAGCTGGAGTTTGTGGGTTTGTGGATCGGGGAACTCCAGGCAGCAGGTAGGGCTAGCTGGGTGGGTCTGGGGGTTTTAGGCTGCCAGGGCTTGCAGGGTACAGGCCCTGGCAGCTCCTGGCTGAGCAATCCTGATGCAATTCCCTGTTTGCAAAACATCAGCCTCCCCATGAGTGTCCTAGGGCAGCGTAACCTTCCCTCAGCATCCACAGCTGGATGGGCCCTTGGGTGGCTGCTTGGCCGTGGAACAGGATTCAGGGCACAGCCGTGGGACATGCTCCAGCCCTCCTTGCCTGTTCGTGGCCAGCTGGTGACAGACCTGACTGTACTTTGGGGTTTTGGGCCCCGGGGAGCCCCAGAATCGCCATGGGAAGCCCAGAGCCGGCAGCAGTGCAGCCATGTGCTGGCTTGGGCAGGGAAGTGGCAGGAGCAGTGGCTAGTCACAGCACTATGTCACTGCTCCTGGCTGGAGGTCACCGTGCCAGAGCATTGTGGCTGCACCCTGTTCACATCAGTGTGGGGGTGTTGAGGGTCCCTCAAATCACCTGGTCTGGGGCAAAAGGGCTTCCCCAAGGAGCCACAGACTGGGGGGGCACCGAACCATTTCACACAAAAGCAGCTCTGGAGTGTGGGTGGGTTGGATCCCCTCACTCCAATCCCCTCAAAAAAAAAAAAAAAAAAAAAAAGAGCCCTTTTTGTCCCATCCACCACCTGCTCCCCAAGAGGGGAGACTGGAGGGGCTGAGCTGTTCCCCGGGGCAAAACGCCCTCGGGTTTGCTGTTTCACAGGGGTTGCAGACCCCCCTCAGGGCTGAGGCTCTCACCAGAGCTGGAAGAGTTAATGCTCCCAAAATGCCATGAAATGTTCCTGCTGCAGGTCAGTCTCCATCGGGGATTAGGGGGATCTGGCCGGGGAGCCGGGGACGGCTCCTGCCAGCTCGGGGCTGGTGCGGGATGTGCTGGTTGAGCCCAAGCACAATGTGCCGGGGTCTGGTGTGGCTCAGGAGACATCCTGGTTGTAAATCATCGGGGAGGGAGGGCTGAGAGCCCCAGGGGGCTGGGGGAGCCCCTCCAGGGGGGCTGGGTGGGCACCCATCCCGCCAGGCGAGACACGGTCCAGTGCCAGCAGCACGGCACTGGTGGGATGCGGGCTGGAAAGCGGGGATGGGTCCATGCCGGTGTCCCGCTCCCGGCACCTTCGGCTCCGGTGCCGGTGGGTGCCCAGAGATGCGGTGCGGGGTGAGGGACTCCCGGGCCAGCCGGGTCCGCAGCGTGGGCTCCGCGTACCTCCCGCCGGCCGCCCCGTCCGATGGGACCGCAGGCTCCGGCTGTTTTCTCATCCTGCAGGAATTCGGCTCCGTGGGCCGGGCGGGTTTTTGTGTGCCCCCCCCTCCCCTTTCACTCTCCCTCTTTGGAGACTTTCTGAATTCTCCCTTTGATCTCCCCCCGTGTTTGCCCAGGGATCGCCGGGCTCGCCGGGGTTAGAGGCTGAGGTCAGCGCCTTTCCCATTCCAAACACCCAGAAACATCAGTGGGAAGGGAGGGGATTCAGATTACAACCTTCCCGTCCTCCCCTTCCACCCCACTCGCCCCGCTGGCCGTGCCGGGGATGGACTGAGCCCCGGGAGACACCCGCCACTGCCGCCGTGTCCCTGGCGCCCCGAGAGCCGAGCGGTGCGATGGATGGAGGCAGCGGGCGGCATCGCCGGTGGTCCGGCGGGCGCCGCGCGTGCTGAAGGACAGAGGTTTGGTCCTCTCCTCCTCCTCTTTGTCCCCCCGCCCGCCCGCCCGCCTTCTCCCTCATCCCGTCCGTCCTGAATGTGATTTATCCCGAGCCCTCGTCAGCGAGCCAGGCCGGCGGCGCGGGGTGGCCCGATGGCTCCTCGTGGGAGAGGCGGGCGCGGGGCCCGGGGCCATCGTGCGGGCGGGCGGCAGCGGGTCCCCGTGGGCATCGCGCTGCTCCTGCCCGTGCTGGCGGTGGCGGCGGCCGGGCTGAGCCTGCAGCCGGGAAGGATGCGGCACCTGGGCGTCTGCCCCAACCAGCTGAACCCCAACCTATGGGTGGACGCCCAGAGCACCTGCGAGCGGGAGTGCCAGGCCGACCAGGTGAGCGAGGGGGCTACGGGAGGCGGCGGGCGGTAACAGGGTTTGGGGGCCATCCCCAGGTCCCCAGAGAAGATGCTTTGGGGTGCGGGTCCTGTGCTGGGCGGCACAGCCGGTTCAGTTGTTTCCGTGCAACGGGCTCAGCCCTGCTGCAGCTTTTCCCCCTAAGCCCCTCCTGTCTGCTGGGCTCCCCAGTCCCCCACAGGCAGAGAAACTGCTTGTTGCTCTCTCACGTCACCCCCTCACACCGTGTCCCATGGTCAGACCACCCTCCTCGTGCACCCTGTCAAAGGGCTGGCTGGGATGAAGGGAATGGGTGTGCTGGGACACGGACCCCATCAAAGCCGAGGACAGAATCCTCTCCCAACTTTCCCCTGAGGGCTGGAGCCCACCCATGGACCGAGCTGTCCATTCCATAGAGCCTTGGCTTTGAGCTCCACCAGGCTGAGCAGGGGCAACCCCATTCTGGTTAGGGCTGTCTGAACCCAGAGGGGAGACTTTCACAATTCATCTGTATGAGTTCTGCCTCCCCTCGGCCAGCAAAAGCTGAGAAGGGCAAGTTGTTCTCTGCTGTGGTGAAGGGAGCATCATCGCTAAGGTGCACCCCAAATCCTGGGGGTGCTGAGGGTGGGCTGGGGCTGGCACAGCTGCGCCGGGGAGGTCTGGCTCTCACCCGGAGCCCAGCGATGCTGAAGGTGCCCAGGGCTGCGCGGGGGACACCTGCCCTCCCGAAAGTCCCCCGGGGTGGGAACAGCACCCACAGCCCCAGCCCAGCGGTGGCCTCCAACCCCCCCACCCCCCCGCAATCTCTTCTCCCTCCCTGACCAGGACTGTGAAGACTTTGAGAAATGCTGCACCAACGTGTGTGGGCTGCGGAGCTGCGTGGCCGCGCGCTTTGCCGACGGCAGCGTTCCGGCGCTGGCTCTGGCGCCCGCCGCCTCCTGCGAGAGCTTCGTGTGCGCGCAGCAGGGCTCCGACTGCGACATCTGGGACGGGCAGCCCGTCTGCAAGTGCAAGGACCGCTGCGAGAAAGAGCCCAACTTCACTTGCGCCTCCGACGGCCTCACCTACTACAACAAGTGCTACATGGACGCCGAGGCGTGTCTGCGCGGCACCCGCCTCACCACCGTGCCCTGCAAGCACATCTTCACCTGGCCCGACACCAGCCCCGTGCCGCAGGAGACCACGGCGCGACCCACGCCAGGGGCCGGCCCCGAGGTGCCGGTGCCCCCCGCCCTCTACACCAACCCCTTCCACCAGTCCGTGCGCGCAGGCGGCACCGTCAGCTTCCGCTGCGACGTGAGCGGCCGCCCGCAGCCCGACATCACCTGGGAGAAGCAGAGCGAGCGGGAGGAAAACTTCATCATGCGGCCGGACCAGATGTACGGCAACGTGGTGGTCACCAATATCGGCCAGCTGGTCATCTACAACGCCCGCCACGAGGACGCCGGCATCTACACCTGCACGGCCCGCAACGCCGCCGGGCTGCTCCGCGCCGACTTCCCGCTGTCGGTGGTCAGGAGGGAGCCGGGGGGGACCCCGCGCACCGGCAGCCCCCAGCCCTTCCCCAGCGCCGAGTGCCTGAAGGAGCCGGACCGGCGGCGCTGCGAGGCCACGGAGGTGCGCTGGCATTTCGATGCCAAGCAGGGCTCCTGCCTCACCTTCCGCTACGGCGGCTGCGGGGCCAACAGGAACCACTTCGAGACGTACGAGGAGTGCCGAGCCGCCTGTCTGGGCAGCGCCCGCCCCACCTGCCTCCTGCCCATGGTGCAGGGGCCCTGCCAGAACTGGGAGCCGCGCTGGGCCTACAACCATCTGCTGAAGCAGTGCCACTCCTTCGTGTACGGCGGCTGCGAGGGCAACACCAACAACTTTGAGAGCAAGGAGACGTGCGAGGACGTGTGCCCCTTCCCCAAGAGCCTGCAGTGCAAGGCCTGCCGCCTAAAGAGCAAGATGGTGCTGAGCCTCTGCCGCAGCGACTTCGCCATCGTGGGGCGGCTCATGGAGATCGTGGAGGACCAGGACTCCGGCATAGCCCGCTTCGCCCTCGAGGACGTCCTCAAGGATGAGAAGATGGGCCTCAAGTTCTTCAACATCAAGTACCTGGAGGTGACCTTGACCGACATGGACTGGAGCTGCCCCTGCCCCAACATGACGGCGGAGGACGGGCCCCTGATCATCATGGGCGAGGTGCACGACGGAATGGCCACGCTGGACCCCAGCAGCTACGTCCGGGCGGCCAACGACAAACGGGTGAAGAAGATCTACGAGCTGATGGAGAAGAAAACCTGCGACCTCCTGAACCGCTTCCAGGACTAGGGGAGAGCGAGGAGGTGCCGACGGGGGGAGCTGCAGACACATCACGGAGGGGGCAGCCTGAGGGAGCCCCCGCACCAGTGCCTGTGTCTACAGGTCACCACTGTCACGTAGTTCCCCCCAACCCCATGCTGAGCCCCAGAGCAGCTCCCACCTCCACTGTAATTTATCTGCCGCATGTTCCCCGCACCGTGTGACCCCCCCCAGCCCGTCCAGGAGCAATAGAGAAGTGGGTTGGGTTACAGAGGGGTGGGAGATCTGCCAGGACCACCCCACTCATAAAATTTTCCCACCTCACCAAAGCCTCTGGGCCCAGTGTAACACCCCTGGTGCTGGACCTGACCGTTTTGTTGGTGCTGGAGGTGGAACTGAGGACATCCCCACCCCCAGTGTTTGTGCTGAAAACATCAAGGAGCTGCTGGGGTGTGGAGGGCAAAGCCACAGAGTTTATTGGAGGGGACAGCAGCACAGTCCTGGGGAGCGGGGGAAGGGGGACACCATCAGAACAGCATCCTCCAAGGAAATTGAGCAATGATGCCCACGGATGTTGTTTCTTCCCATGGCAGCTGTGCTGGGTCCTGTGGTCCAGGCTCCTCACTGCAAAGGAGGTCCCAAAGGCACCAGGGGAGATGGACCCCCCCCAACCAAGTCAGCCCCGGCTGGGGTGAGTCTGTCCCATCACTGCTGTCCTCAGCCCCAGTGTCCATGGTGGGACAGTGACACCCCTGCAGGAGGTATCAGTGGGCAGAGCAGTGCCGGGAGGCGCTGGCAGTGCTGTCAGGGCAGGTTACAGCTTGCGGAAGATCAGGCTCTTGTTGTTGGCCGGCATGTCCACCTGGACACACAGAGCTGGGGCTCAGGGGTGCACAGTGGCACGGGGAGCACCCCAGTCCCCCAGTCCCATCACCTACCATCCTCTCCAGACACAGCCCGTTGGCCTGGGCCAGCTCCCGCAGCAGCGCCGTGTCCCGCAGCCCCCAGGCAGGATTGCTGCGGGAGGGAGGCGCGGGTCACACCCGGGGATGGGGACACCCCCCCAAAGCAGCCCCAGCTCCCCCCGGCTGGGGGGCTGCCCTCAGGCGTGCCTTATCTTGAAAGACCACGCTGGGAGGGAGCTTCCTGCAGCTCCAGGAGCAGGGGCGGGACAGACAGGACAGAGTGGGCCCCCAAGAGCCTGAGACCCCCAGCCCCCTCCTACCTCTGCCTCAGGCTGCGGTCAAAGTCCACGTTGCTCTGGGGGCTGATCTGGCCGTCCACGGCGTAGGGCTGGGGGGACACAGCTGGAGCTGCAGGCATGAGCCACCCTGTGTCCCCCCAGCCCCTCCTTCCATGGGCTGCTGTCCCCACCAAGCACGGAAGAGACACGGCCCCCAAGGAGTCCCATCCCCCACTGTGAGTCCTGTCACCCTCTGCAGCCCTCCCAGACTCTGCCTTGGATAAGGTGAGGGAGGACAGGATCTCTCTCATCCAAACTGCCCCTTTCAGGGCTCAGCATGTGCCCCAAAAGACACAGACCCTCCAAAACCCTGCATTTCCCAGTTCCCTCCCTAAGCCATGACTGGAGCTGCCCTCCCAGGTGTCCCCCCAGTATCCGCTCTGACACGCTGCAGCCCCAGGATGCTCCTGCACTAGGACCCACCCCATAGGTGAAGAGCACACCTCCAGGCTTCAGCAGCACCCCGGCACCCTTGAACAGGCCCTGGGAAAGGAGAGAGGTGGGGACCGGGTCAGGGGGCTGGGGACACCCCCCGGGAGCCCCTCCTCGGCCCTGGCAGGGGGCAGGGGCTGTGAGGGCTGCTCACCTCGGTGCACCGCAGCTCTGCGATGTGCATCATGTTGATGCTGACAAGGAGGTCGAGGGTGCCGGGCTGGGTGCCCCCCCAGGTCTCCCAGCCCTGAGACACGTCCAGCAGGATGGGGGGCAGCAGGTTGGGCACTCCCGTGGCCTCCACGTAGGCAGCGATGCTGTGGGCACCACACCCCACCTCAAGCCCAGCCGGGTCCCCCCGTGCACCCCCAGCACCCGCTGCAGGCAGGGACAATCCCCTGGATGGACTCTCAGCCAATAGTTGTTATTCCACGTGCATGTGGGTGCAGCACAGCCTGGGGGCTCTTTGCCCAGCCCTTTGCTTCCAGCTGGCAGAAGGAGAACTGGAAGCACCTGGACAACCAGCAGCATGGAGAGGCCCCAGGGCCTAAATTCCCCGATTTTGGAGCACTCACCCCTTGTGGGGCATCCCATTGGCACCACTGCATCAACATCTCCTGATTTTGGTTTTAATTACACCCTTTTTGGCACATTCACCACCCAGGTCTCAGCTCCTGCAGCCTCCCAGCCTGGGGATTATTTTTAACCAGGGTGCTGGGTGCTGATGGGTGGGCAGCACAAAACTTCCCCTGGAAAGGCGCTGGTTTCAGCACCTCCCCACCAGGCTTTTTTTTTTTTTTTTTTCCTCTACAGTGGAAAGCTGGATTTTGGGAGTTTTCTGGGAAAAATAAAGTCCTGGGCGGGGGAGCATGGGTTGTTTGGGAGTTGGATATTGGGGATTTATTGAAAAAAAATATAGTGAGCATTGACCTGGGGAGCCTGCGCTGGGCAAGAGTTGAATATTGTGGTTTGCCTGGAAAAAATAAAGCGTCAAGCCAGAGAGCCTGGGCTGTCCAAGGGGGTCTTTGCTGGGAAAAAAAGTACACATTAAGCTCATTTGAGAGCAGGATATTGCGGTTTTCCTGGAAAGAATACAGCACTGAGAGGGGGAGCCTGGGCTGCTGGACAGGCAAGAGATAGCAAAGATAGCAACAGAGCCGCGGCTATTGGCTTTTTCCTGAAAAAAGAAAAACAAGTCTGGAGCCTGGGCCCACTGTTGAGTGGGTCTTTTCCGGGTAAAAACACACATCCAGCTCATCCAAGAGTTGGATATCGGGGTTTTCCTGGAGAAAAGAAAGCACTAAGCAGGAGGGCCTGGGCTGCAGGAGAGTGGGATACAGGGGTTTTCACAAAATCCCCAAGCGAAATAAAATAAATAAATAAATTAATTAAAAGGAGATCAGGGAACCGGGCCAGTGGTAGGGGGCTGCAGGCGGTGTCCCCCGGCGTCCCCCGTCCCCTCGGCCCCGCTCACCTGCGCAGCGCCCGGGGGTCGCAGTCCGAGGGCTGCCAGCGCGTCTGCGGCAGCGCCCGCGCGAAGTGCGCGGCGTGGAGCCCCGAGCCCGCGCCCACCTCCAGCACCCGCAGCGCGCCCGGCCCCGCGCCCGGCCCCGCGCACTCCCGCAGCACCGCCAGGATCGGGCCCTTGTTGCGCTCCGCGGCCGCCGGGACCTGCATGGCCGGGCCGGGCCCGGGAACTACAGCTCCCGGCACCGCCGGGCCCGCCCCGCGCCGCGGGTGGAGCTTCTCACGGCGGGCGGGCAAAAAGAAGACAGAAGGGGGGGGGAGGGGGGAAAAAAACCACCAAAATAGATTTGCGCCGCCCGGGAATCGAACCCGGGTCGCAAGAATGGGAATCTTGCATGATACCACTACACCAGCGGCGCGGCCGACAGCGGCTCTGCCCCGCCGCCCCTCGGAGCTGCCCTCGGGCCCTGCGGGGACCCCGGCCCGGGCGCTGCTGCTGCTCCGCCACGCACCAGCACCCCCTGAAAGAAGCAAACTGAGGCTTTGCCCCGACACCCCGGGAAAATGGGGGTGAGGGCGGACCCCGCCCACCCTTTCCGCGACAGCTGTCACTGCTGATGGAGGTCTGGAGGGATCCATCTGGAGCTCAAGGATTAGGGGTTCAGCCCTTCCAAGCATGGAAAAGCTCAGGGGATGCGCCAACAGCCACTTAGAAACCCCGGGCAGGTCCGGGGAAAACTGAGGCACAGTCCCCAGCACGTGACAGGGCGGATGGCAGCCCGTGGTGACATCCTGGGGGTCAGGATTGTATTTAAGCACAGTAATAAGATTGGGGGTGACAGCAGTGGATGCGCACCCGCGAAGGGTCCACGCGTGCCTGGTACCGACCAGGGTCAGGCTCCGCTGGGTTTTTATGGGAGGTACCCGCCTGCAGCCCTCCCTCCCCGGCCAGTACCGTGGCAACGTGGCGAAAAGGCAAAGGTCACCCTCGTGGGGTGGCTTTGCAGCCCCTGGAGCCAGGCTGGAGCCTCCCAGAGTCCCCAGTGTGTTTGTCACACGATCTCTCCCCAAAACTCTGAGTGCTGTCGCCAGCCTCAGGGGTGGCCGGTGGACGCTGCGGGGTGGCCGGGGATCTGCTCAGGGTCATATCCTAGGTCTGCACCTCCTGCCACGTGGGGACACCTTGGCGGGACCTCCCCGCTCCAAAGGTCACCGTGCTGGTCGGGACACGGCTGCCCACTCCCGCTTCCTGCGCTGGTCATGGGATGTGCAGCCACAGCGCTGTCCCCTTGTAAGGGGGAGCACCTCAGCCCCTGCTTCTGCACCCCCTACTTTGTGCTTTGTGTCCCAGGAATGACCCCTATCTGCCCCCTGTTGTGCAGTGGCTCCGGTGTCCTATCTCCTGAGTGTCCCCGTGCAGGTCCCCTCCGACTTTCCCGTGACTCCCGTGTCCCCTGCGCGTCTCTGCCATCCTGTGCCCCACATTCCCTCTGTGCGCTCTCCCCTATGGAGCCCCGCACGTTCCAATGTCCCTTCTGTGCATTCTGTGTGTCCTGCGCGTGCCCTGCGTCTACCACGTCCCACATGTCCCCTCTGTGTCCCATGCAAACCCTCACATATGCTCCCAGCGTGTGCCCTGCTCGTCTCCAGTGTGTGTCCCTGCATCCTGTGTGTCCCCATTAACCCCTCACGTGCACCCCTGACATGTTCTGTGTCTCCAGTGTGTTCCCACGTCTCACACATGCCCCCAGCGTATCCCATGAATGTCCGCTGCGTGTCTCCGCATCCCCCAGGTGTGTGACGGGCGTCCCCACGTCGCACGTGTGTCCCTTGTGCGCCCTATGCATCCCACGCACCCCCCACAAGTAGACCCGATGTGTCCCGCGTGTCCCCTGCGTGTCCCACGTCCCACGGGTGCTCTCAATGTGTTCCGCGCGTCCCCTATGTGTCCCCACAACGCAGACACGTTCCTTACACAGCACGCATGTGTCGCATATGCCGCATCTGTCCCCGCACGCCTCCCACGTGTCGCCCCGACCTGTCCCGGGGGTGTCCCACCCGTCCCCCGGGCGCTGCGCGCTGTCGCCGCGTCCCACGCGCCCCCCGCGCGGTCCCTTTAAAGCGCGGGGGCGTGTCGGTGCCCGCCCGGCCCGGCCCGTTAAAGGCCCCGGCGAGGGGCGCGCTCGGCACTCGGGCGGGGGTGGCGGGGCCGTGGGCCGGGGCCCGCACCATGTACACGCTGACGCGCGGCCCCAGCAAGCTCGCCACGCAGCGCCGCACAGGTACCGGGGGGCGCGGGGCCGGGGGGCGCTGGGGCTCCGTCCGGCCCTCGCTGCCCCCCCTGACGCCCCGCACCCCCCGCAGGTCCCACGCAGCAGGCGGTGGAGAGCAGCAAACTGGGCGAGCTGCGAGGGCGGCCGCAGCCCGGCCCGTGGCCCCCCGCCAGGTGAGCCCCGCGCGCGGTCGTGACCTTGGAAAGTCACTGGGGTGACCTTGTGAAGGGGAGCCGAGACGGCCGGGCCGCCCGGCGGGACGCGGGAGGGGGACCTGGGGTCTCCGCTCGGTGCCGCTCGCCCCGGGGGTCTCAGCCGTGCCTGCGCCCGCACGCCTCCCGCGGGCCTCTGTACACGCGTGGCGCGGGCTGCCCCGCGCCGGGGACACGCCGGAGTCGCCGCCCCTCCTCCTTCCCACGGGCCGTCCCCAGAAATCGCGGGGAGTGGGACTGGTGGGGTCACGCCAAGGAGGCGGCGCGGGGGGGTCCCGGTGCGGGCGGAGCCGGGGCCGGGCTTCTCCCGCCCCCCCCGCGGACGGCCCCGATTGCACAAACCGGCGGCGGGGCCAGCGCCGGTGCCACCGTGTGCCCGCCCGCCTTGGCCGCGCCGTGCGCCCACGGAGCCCACGCGGAGCTGGCGATCCCCTCTGCCCCGAAAGCCGGGGTGACATTTTCTGGGTGAATTCCAGTGTCCAGCAGCAATACCTGGGGCTGTTGGCTGGGTGCTGTGGGGTATTCCAGTGACTGGGAGGTGGTGATGGGACCCTTAAGGAGACCCCTTTCCCGGCTGGAAGGCTCGACTCAAAGCACACCCAGACAGGGCAGTGGGGCCCCGCTAGTTCTGCACGTCCTCTCCAGCTCCAAGAAATGGATGCGTCCCCCCTCCACCCCCTTAGATCCTCTCCTTCCCAGGTTCCTTGAAATTCACTGGGGTGGCTTCAGTCATGCTTGTCCTGGTCCTGCATGCCCAGTGCTGCTGGCTGTAGGGTCACTGCCCTTCCCAGCCCCTGCCTGCAGATCTGCAGGAGCTGCCTGCTCCCAGTCTCTCTTGCTCTCCAGACCCACTCCTAGGGCCCCTTAGACTTTGTCCCGTGAGGAACGTGGCTGTTGCAGCCATATTCTGCCCTGGAGCTGGGCAGAAAAGCCAGAATACTGGAGTTTTGCATTGAAGATGCTGACAGGTCTCCTCCCAAGTTTTCACTTTAGCTCTGATGGGTGTTGCTGCATCCAGGGCAGGGGTTGGTTGAAGTGCTCCTCACCAGAGGGGATCCCAGCTCTGAGGAAGTGTGACCTGCTCCCACTTCACAGAGTGTTACATCCCAGTCCTGGGGCACCTTGGGGACATGCTGGGCCCAGAGCTATTCCAGTGAACCTGGGTGCTTGATTTGCAGAGGATGGCACATCCCCTGTCCAGTACCTGACTGGATTTCGCTTCTATTTCCTGATATTCCTGCAGTTTTGGTGGCAGATCCTTTTTCTTAGGATCTGCACTTGGTGGAGGTTTAAGGATGGGTAAGAGATGGGCAGCTGATGCTTTTTCCCAGGGAGTTCCCCTTGCACCCCTCCTGTGTCCGAATCCCCTATCCCTGGGGCTGTGTCTTGCAGCTGTAGGTCAGACTGCACACAGACAACCCAGGACACTTGAACTGCCCCAGTTCTTGCTGAGGTGGGCAGAGCTGCCTGTGCCCTCACCCCCTTATTGCTTCCCTCCCTGCACAGCCCAGCGCAGAAACTCGTCTTCAACAGAGTGAATGGCAAGAGGCCCCCACTGATGCTGCAGCAGATCTCAGCCCCTGAAGAATGTTACACCCTGGCCCACGAGGAGAACGTCCGCTTTGTCTATGAAGGTGAGGGCAGAGGGTTCCTGGGGCAGTGCCCAGGAGAGCTGGAGCAGATAGAGTCCCTCCCCAGTACAGATGTGCTGGGGACATCGGTGGCAGGGGTGGAGTCCTCAGCCTGGGGACTCGCCCTCCTTTGCTCCGCTTCCTGCTCCTGTCCTGCAGCCCCTCACACTGGGATCCCAAACCCATCCAGTGCTTGTTCCCCCTCCCCAGCCTGGCAGCAGGTAGAGCAGCAGCTGGACGGGAGCCAGAGCGGGGAGAGCGCCTGCGGCCCCGTGCAGTACGTGGAGAAAACCCCCGACCCCGGACTCAAAGGTATGTGGCCAGTGGTTGTAGCACTTTGGGGGGCATCAGGCTTGGGATGCAGTGAGTGGCTGTGGGCTCAGCCTGCACCTGAACAGGGCTGTGGTGGAAGGAGGATTTGGATTCAAGTGCTGGATGTGCCAGAGGGGATGCTTGGGCCTATCCTGCTGATGCTGAAGTCACTCTGGGGGTGCTGAGGGGAGACAGCTGGGCTCAGGCACTGTGCTGGGGATGTCCACTGTGTCCCTTGGGTGTTCCACTGTGTTACTGACTCCTCTGGGATTCAGGCCTTCTCCTGCCACCAAGGGGTTCAGCATCATGCTGAGAGAGGAGCTCCCTGTGGGGACCCGCTTCTCCTGGGGCCAGCAATACCAGTTGGGCACGGGGACAACACTTGTCTGGTGGCACCTGGAGTCAGGGCAGTGACAGCAGCCTGTGAGCTCTTGCAGTGGCTGAGAGCTTCCCAAGAAAGAGAATGTCCCTGTAAACCCAGTCTGGCCTTTTGGGGACAAGGCACAGGGGTGGAGGACACCTGGGGGTGTCATTAGATTGGAAATCAGGGAAAGGTTCTTCCCCAGAGGGTGCTGCGCACTGCCCAGGCTCCCCAGGGAATGGGCACGGCCCCGAGGCTGCCAGAGCTCCACGAGTGTTTGGACAGCACTGCCAGGGATACCCAGGGTGGGATTGTTGGGGTGTCTGTGCAGGGCCAGGAGTTGGACTGGATTATTGCTGCGGGGCTCTTCCAGCTCAGGGTATTCTGTGATTCCAAGGTTATTTTTTGGGGGGCTTTGGAA